AGTCATCACTATTTTGTCTTCTCAAAGCAAATTTCGGTAAATCGAATGATATTTCGATTTCATGATATGTTCTTGATTAATATAATATGCACACTATCGGTGTAATATCTCCTACATGGTTTAGCAATTAATTATAGATGTTTAACGAATAATTCCGCAAGATCATTTTGTGTGTGAACATGAGCAACATGTGTTCAACTTTCAACCCAACCGACATATAATATTCATTAAAGATTTGGGATATGAATTTACTAGTATTATCAAGACGAATTGTTTATGATTTTATAGTTTGAAAATTGTGCCTGTAATCGAATTATTTGAGCAAATAATCTAGAAAATGTCATGTTACGAGTAAATGATAAATTCTGATGCAACTATGTAGTAGATGCATCTACCAATGGATGAAATCCATCTATTTTTCATTGTACCATAACAAAATGAAAGGTTTGTGACTGAGCGGCACAAGCTAAGCCCCTGTGTGACGAAGATTATTTTAGCAAAGCCCCCCGAGGCTCATCCGAGTTGGTGGAACAATTGCATTTGTGGGCTCGCAACCTCAGCGTGGAGAGTTCGATTCCTGGAAGGCATGAGTCTTGGAAGGGGGATTTTCTCGAGGGCAAGGCAATGATTGGAAGGCAGTGAGGAGAGCTCTCTTGGGATCAGGAGTATAAGCGGTGTAGGAACCTGGGAGCCAACAACGGCATAACCCGCGGTTTACCTCCTTAAGTCGCTGAGGGGCCGGTGGCTAGAGGTCCAGGATTTAGTCTGGCTAAGTTGGGATACCTGGGTATAAAAAAAAAANAAAAAAAAAAAAAAGATTATTTTAGCAAAAATCAATTTTTACTACAGTAGCATTGAGCCTGACTATCAGCGGTGTGTTGTCATATCACTTGAAAATCAATTTCTACAATCCTCATCTTTCAATGCTAATTGGTGTTCAGCCGAAAATATTTTAACGGACCAAAAATGAAGGGCAAAGTAGTAAATTCCTAGTGTATCAATGAGGGCAGAAATGGCAAACAAACTTTTCAACGGGACTCACTGCAATAGAAAGTTTAAGGTATGTGCCAATAATTTTTTATTATTATAGCACTATTTGAAAAATTGAGAACACTTCAAGTGGCTAAAATAAAGGCAGTCAAACAGAGGCTAAATGTTTCGATAAAACTAGCGACAAAATAAAAGATTTGAAATCGTGATCGCAATTGTTTCTTTAATTTATCGAGTTGCTTTAGCTTTGTAAGAGTAACAATATTAGCAAAGCCGTGATTTTGATTTCATACATCAGACTTTGTATATGAAGTAGAAGTGGAAAAAGGAATCAGAGAGTCGGCAAAGATAGAAAAGCGTCATTAAAAGTTCGACCATATGAATTCAAAAGCATATAATTCTTTGTCAATTCACGTGGTAGACCGGATTGGAGAGAGAGTGACAAGCATATGAAGTTAGACCAAATGGGCTGTTGTCACTTTCTTAGCTAATTATCTTAAATAAAAAAAAAATGGTAAATCATCTCGGTAATAATTTTTAATACGTAAATGATTGTGCTTTATTAATATAGTATATTATCATCATGAAGAATAGTCGAGAAGTACCTATATAAGTAGAATTACAAAGATAATTGAATCAACCTTTAGGCTCGGTTTGAAAACACAAATTTTCCATGAAAAATGGAATTTGAATTTCGTTTTCCAACTTTTCCCTTGTTTGATACCATAAATTTGTCTTGAAAAACATTTTCTCAAAAAACTTCACACGTGCGCTATTTCTTAGATTTGGAGGAATTGGATGGTGGGAAAT